TATATATATATATATATATATATATATATATACACACACACACACACACGCGCGCGAGCGCGCGCATACGCACGCACGCACACACTCGTAATCTTTCTGTGAATATCTATGAGAAAGAAAGGCAGAGAAAAGCTAATATTAAAATTTTCGCGATTTCTTCAGATTTACGAATCGGTAAAGTAACGTTCTACGTTGCTCTTCGGAAAAAAGACAGATACGGATTAAAACTATGTAGGAAACCTTTATTCGTATTTCATCTGGCTTTTCTGCTATTCTATTAGCTAATACATTTCTGCTGACAAAAATTAAACTTATATTTTACTAGAAGAGCCCGCTAAGCAATTTTACGCAACTGCACGAACGCGACGCGCACGCTTTGTTATCATGAAGAAAATGTTTCGACCAAACGGATGATTAAGTGCGAGTCAAGCTTTTACAATTCTAACGTTGCGAGAAGAAAAAATAAGCGCGTATAAAAAGATGAATATGTTGTATGGAGTGTTTTGTAATTTTTGCGACATCTTTTCGTAAACATTCCCTTCACACATGTTCGTGCATGTTCGTCAATACAAATCGCCTTAGTTCTCCACGGAAAACATTTACATCCATTTGATAATATTTAGATTTCATAAAACCGGATTTTTCTGTCTCTCTCTCTCTCTCTCTCTCTCTCTCTCTCTCTCTGTTACGTATTTCTAAAATTTGATAAACAAACGATTGGCTCGTATCATTTAACGCAAAGATAAATCACGTGTGGTGCTAAAATGTTGTATTTAACAGATCTAAGCTTTTAAAATGCTTTATAAATGCGCAATGTCTGCCACCCTCTCCCTCTTCACCGAATCCTCTCTGCAGAATCTCCTTTCCGGTATCGTTCTCACACACACACACACACCGATACGTTCTTATCAATCACCCTTGCGTTGAAATACATTGAGAAGGATTACGACAAAGCAGCGATACACGGCGGTCTTTTTTCTTTTCCTTCTTTATCTCGATTTATTCAATATGTGTTTTCTTATAAAGTGATGTTCTACCGAATAAAAATAAACGAGAAGATTATGAAAGAAAGAAAAACAATAGTTAATATGTTCATTAAAATTCTTCTTGTTAAGGCAACTAATTTGTTTAGTCTCATTTTACATATCTAAAGTAAATATATATATATATATGTATTATATATATACATATATAATGTATATATATATTTATATATATATATATTTTTTTTTCATATATTTATATATTTGTATATTTATAAAGTATATGTAAAACACTAATATATGATTACCTTTATTGTTACAAGCCTTACATAATTAGAATATAGTATATGTATACTTTATATATATATATATATATATACTCTTGTAATAAAATTGATTATTTAGTACTCAAATCTAGAGATAATAAATATATCTAATGTGTATTGTTAGTACATGAGAAGTGCGTGCAGAGGGTGGCAGCAGGGTGCGCATTTGGGAGTGCTATTGTTGCAGGGACTCTCCAGTCCCCTGTCTTTATGCCGTCTCACATGGTGACATTCAGCTGTATTGCTTTAGAGTCTACGGGACATGCTTGTTGTTGTTGCGTTTGTTGTTGCTGTTGTTGTTGCTGCTGCTGTTGTTGCTGCTGTTGCTGCTGCACTTGTTGTACCTGCTGTTGTATCGCCTGCAGCTGCATCGTTTTCGTATCGACGGTACATGATTGCTGTTGCGGTTGCTGTTGCTGCGGCTGCTGTTGCACTTGTTGCTGCACTTGCTGCTGCTGCTGGACTTGTTGCTGTTGCTGCGCTTGCTGCTGCTGCGCTTGCTGTTGCTGCGCCTGTTGCTGCTGTGCTTGTTGCTGCTGCGCCTGTTGCTGTTGTGCCTGTTGGGCAGCGGCTTGAGCAGCCTGTCTCTGCTGTTGCCTGAGTATACTGGGTGGCGGGTCCATATGCTGGCGCTGGTGCAGCAATAAATGATTCTTCTGGAAGAAAGCTTTGCCACATTTGTCACATACATGAGACCTTATATGGCAGCTGCCGTCCGTATGACGTCGTTGATGCTGCGACAAGCCATGCTTTTGTGCAAAACCGCGACCGCAGTCCGGACAGATGTGCGGTTTGGGTTTCGGCCCTGTACCCACCGGTGGTGACGTTTGCGTCGCTCCATGCATATGACTAACGCCGGGCGTCCCGATCGGACCATTCATCTGTAAATACTTTATTTATAATTTACAGGTTTTACTCCACGCCACGGGCGCATATGGTTATTACCTGATGAGTTGTTGGAGTATTCGGAGTGAGGAAATGTCCTGGGGTTTGTTGGAAAGCGGCTGCCAGACCGCACAGATCTGTCACGAGTGTGCGATCACCAGAATGTAGCCTCAGGTGCAAAGTCAGGGCTTCTCGATTCGAAAACTCGAGTCCGCATTCTCTGAAAGAATAGAAAAGAAAAAGGGAAAAAGTGAACATTGTTTGTCTATACCGAGATTCTTGTCCGTTCCAAGAGAGTATACCAGCTGCATGAACGCTGGGACGCGCGATATGGATACCACACTTTAGAGAGCAATTCCTTGAATCGAACGGAGACGATAGAATACTGATGCGGTTATTTTCCGTCATTTCCGATCTCCGACGATAAAGAGAATGTAAAAAAAGAAAAAAAAAACAAAGATAGAGGAAAGAATGAATGAGCTGACATGAACGCACAAAACAAGTCTCACCTGCATGTAAGAGACTTCTCATCGGCATTCGCATTGTTGTTGTGAATCTTGGAGTGAGTGACCAGATCTGCTTTCCGAGGGAATGCTTCTCCACAAACGGTGCAGGCGAAAGGCGTTTCGCCAGTATGTAAGCGCATATGAGCTAAGAGTGTTCGCTTTTGCAGAAATTCCTTTCCACAAACAGTACACGAATGCGGGTTTCTGCCATGTAGACGGCCGTGATTGACCAACTCAAACTTTCTCTGGAAGGTAGCACCGCAATCATGGCAAACGAACGGATGTAGGCTGCCGTGGAAGCGCGAATGCATGGTGAGGTGATCCTTTTGGGAGAAAGACTCGCCACATTCCTCGCAAACGTAAGGTCTCTCCCCCGAGTGGAACTTACTGTGCGTCACCAAGTGACGCTTGAGAGGAAACGCTCTACCACACTCCTGACAGACAAACGGTCGTTCCCGCGTGTGCACGCGAGTGTGCGTGACGAGATGATGCTTGAGCGTAAAGGACTTTTTACATTCGCGACATTGGTACGGCCTCTCGGCGCTGTGCAGCAGCAAATGCGTATGAAGACAATGTTTGTGCGCGAAACTCTTGCCACAATGTACGCAAATGTGAGGTCGCTCGCCGGTGTGTACTCTCGCGTGCGTCGTGAGATGATGCTTCAATAGGAAGGACTTGCCACACTCCGTACAGGAGTACGGCCGTTCCTTCGGCACGCGGACCTGGCTACCCATGTCCTGCTGCTGTTTCACCTTGGTCTCGATCTGCGTTGTATTCACATGAGTGAGAACATGACCAAAGTGAGCGGTGCTGTCCGTCTGGTTCGTAGTGACATTGTTCGCCGAAGTAGCCTGATTGGACGCCGCGGCGGCTCTCTTCATCAAGATTTCATTGCACTCTTCCGCTGTGAGCTGCAACGGCCCGAGGGGTGTCATGAAGTGCTTGCTCATGGCGTGCTTGTCGGTCGTAAAGACCAGGGTGTTTGGAAACAAAGTGGGTGCCGGCGTGGGATGTGGCGAGTCGCAATTGCAGCCTCCTTTGTCGCACGGCAACGAGAAAACGTCGTGATGCTTCTTAGTACGAACATGAGTGCCATGGGTTTGATTGTGTGCTCCAGCGGTATGGCCATGATGTGTAGTCGGTGTCTGCTGACAGCTGTCATTCATTGCGAACATTGGACGACGATGAGTGGTTGCGGCGACCTTGGCTGGCTTGATATCAACCTGTATCTTCTGACTGGATCCTTGGTCTTGATTATTGTTGACAGCATAATTGATATTAGTCGTAAGGTCGTTCTGAGCATTCTCGCGGCTCTCCGTTCCTGGGCCGCTGAAGGACCAAGCGTATCCACCAAATCCTGCGCTTGCATTGCTGGGAGCGGTACACATATTCGTGAGAGTTGTAATGGATGGGTTAGCCTGGCTAGACGCACTACTGGCAGACCGCTCTGTACTCGTCAGCGCATTTTCTGCACCAACCCTTTCCACTACAACAAACTGATCTGTAGGAAATATTTTGAGAGCTTCCAAGTGAACGTACCCGTCACACTCCAGTATCTCGGTGGCGAATGCTCGACGTCAGTATCATATCTGAGTGCCAAGAGCGGTGTATGATTAGGTGCTGGGTCAATTTCGTGCTTGCAGACTCTGAATTTTTATACGGGCATAATACGGAGAGAGAGAGACAGAGAGAGAGAGAGAGAGAGAGAGAGAGAGAGAGAGAGAGAAAGAGAGAAACAGAAAAAAAGAGTGAGAGACAGAGAGAGAGAGAAAGAGAGAGAGAAAACTCTGTAACAATGATTAATATCTCGCGCGGATCATAAGGAGCGTGTTGCGAACGCAACGTACGCTCTACGCACGCTCTACGCACGCTCTACGCACGCTCTACGCACGCAACGTGCTCCTCTTGGCGGATCCGCTGTCCGCGAGTACGCTGTATCGCGAGAGCGGCTGAGAGACGGTCGCTCCGAGTCTCGGCTAAGGCGAGGCGAATGCCGGACAAAATATCGGAGCGGGCGGCGAATGCCTCTGACGTCGCGCTCTGCGACTGTCTGCCAAACGTTTACGTAAATGTGGCCACCGCTTTCGTATTGTTGCCGCGCCACTGTGCACCAATGGAAAAAAAACACGCCGTTCGTCACTCTACAGCTTTCCTGTGTGTTAGAGAGACCGTGAGTGAATCTCCGTTTCGGTCTTCGGACCCGCGGCGTCCACGGTTCTTCGAGGCAACCTCCACCTTCTTCTCGCGACACTCCCGCACTTTCGCTCACTATCCGTCCACTCTTTCCGTGTTTTGCGCTTTCCGGACTATACTCTCACTTCGACGCACGCACCCTCGATGGTCATTAATTTTAAATAATTACATATTTTATTGTTCATACAAAATAGCCTCACATATCGGCCATTTTATTTGTAAACTACCAAAAAACAATGTTGCCAATGCAAGTCAATTTTTGGAGGGAGCGGAGCTCTCGATAGCGTCGCACGAGTTTCCATGATGGCAGCACTTTTGGCGTCTATGCGATATCGCATAATACACGGCCCATACACATGTAAAGCCAGCGACACACGATGGGTGCTTTCCAGCTACGTACACTGTATTACACAAAACCAGTTTATTGGTTGAATATTATCTTACAAAATATTTTAGATAATATGTGACCAATAAATCGGTTTTGTGTGACACAGTGTAAAGACCGATTTATGATGGCCGTAATTCGTTAACTTATGCCGGAACCGTAAAAAATTAACTAATCATAGTCGAATTATAGAAGAATAATCGACTGTGATTGGTCAATTTTTTACGGTTCAGGCATAAGTTAACGGATTACAGCCATCATAAAACGGCCTTTAGACTGGTTCTACACTAGTTGCAAATCGCAAGATCGTAAGAAAATTTACCAATCACAATCGTACTGCGTTCGGAAACGTCACTCGAGTACTTTCCCTCTCTTTTTATCTTACTCTTGTATTTCGTTCACTCCAACGGTTATCGTCTAATAGTATGCACACAGTGTGTGTTTCCGAGCGCAGCCACGATCGTTCTTCTTACAACCAAAGAAGAATTGACTGCAATTTTTTTACAATCTTGAGACTTGCAATTAATGTAGAACGACTCTTAAGGCTCGTCTACAATGTCTGTAAAAATGGCTGTAAGGCTGTAAAGCCAGCAACACACGGTGCTTGTTTTCGTGCTGAATTGCTTGCTAGATGTAAATACTCTGTTTTGATTGGTACATTTCTGAAGATGGATTGAAATGCACCAATAAAAACAGAGTATTTACATCCAGCAAGCAATCCAACACAAAAACAAGCACCATGTGCCACTGGCTTAAGATGCAAAATAAATTATTTTCATTCCCTGACAGCTCACGTTACAGCCTTACAGTTATTGTAGATAAGCCTTTAAGGATATTCTTGTACGGAGGTTCTTATGGCTCCTGCACACAGGACGCGGTAATGGTTGCCGCGCTGCAAAATTTCACGCGACAGCCAATCAATATGCTGCTTTCCGTAATAACCTTTTAGTTCTTACGGAAAAACAACATATTGATTGGCTGTCGCGCGAACTTCCGCCGCGGGGCGACAGCCAATAAATATGTTGTTTTTCCGTAAGAGCTAAAAGGTTATTACGGAAAGCAACATATTAATTGACTGTCGCGCGAACTTTCGCCGTGCGGCAGTATTACCGCGTCCTGTGTGCAGGAGTCATTAGGGCTATGGCACACAGAGAAACTTAAGCAGTAAAATGTAAACAGTAAGCAAATTGACCAATCACAGTCGCTGTTTTTTCTCACGGTCCAAGAATCAACAACTGTGATTGGTCAATTTGCATTCTGCTAACGTTTTACTACTTAAGTTTTTCTGTGTACCATGTCCCTTAGGCTGAGTTCTCACTTAGCGCGTCACGCGTCGCGTCGTCCTAGTTAAGCCAATCAAATCGTTCTATTTTATTCGGCGTAAAGTTACGCAATTAAATGGGACGATTTGATTGGCTTAACTCGGACGACGCGACGCGTGATGTGCTAAGTGGGAACGCACCCTTAGGACCTTCGCACACAAATTGCCGTAACCATAACCGTAATAATAAATAAACTTAAGCTGAAGAATCAATCAGAATATTGCTATAGATTTATGTATTCCAAAAGACTATAAAAGTGGCACCAAGTTTTATCTCACGCAGAAATAACTAGATTTCAATCGACAGAAATAACTAGGTTTTAACAGATTAAAATCTAGTTATTTCTGCGTAAAGCCAGCGACACACGACGCTTGTTTTCATGCTGGATTGCTTGCTGGATGGAAATACTCTGTTTTGATTGGTGAATTTCTGAAGACGAACCAATCAGAATAGAGTATTTCCATCCAGCAAGCAATCCAGCACGAAACAAGCATCTTGTGCCGCTGGCTTTAGATAAAACTTGGTGTCACTTTTATTTAGGATTCACACCGCGTCTAATGTCCGACGTACAACGTCTGATATCCAATAAAGCCCATTCTACAATTGCGTGAACGTGATTGTAAGAGGTTGTAAGTGATTACAACAACCAATCAGAATAAAGCAATCAGTGAATAAAACATTCGAATTGGTTGACTCTTACGTTCACGACTACGCTTACCCAATTGTAGAATGGGCTTAGAACAGCTTTCTAATAGAGAATTCACTTCTCTCTAATTGGAAAGCTAGTTTCCTATTGGATATCGGACATCGTATAGCGACTTCGTATAGCGGACTTCGAACGCGTTGTGAATCCTCCGTAACTCTACTTTATTTTACTCGATTTATTGGACAGCATTAAGTTGTCATGAATCATGAAAATACTAGATGCTTGTGACTATTATATTTTTCGGCCCTAGTGAAACTAACTCGTACTAACTCCAACTCGAATTATCGTAGGGTGCTTACGATAGTAAGTTCGGAGCGAGTGAGATCTCGATCCGGACAGAGTAGTATATGCTCCCATCTACAACTAATATATTCAATGGCTGCTCCTGCTTTATTCCCGTACGTATCATACCGCAATTCGGAGCAAGGAGTGGTGTATGGAACAAATCACAAACATCAAGTACAAACGTCAAGTAGCCAGATATAATAAAATATAATTCGAAATAATTCATTTGTAGTATTAACGATACGTACTAACGATAGAAAGTAATTTATTTAAAGTTTATCTTATATAATTTGTAATTTAATTCAATTTTTTATATTAAAAATCGTTATTATTAAGTTAAACATTAAAAATGAACCTGCCCTTATTCCTATGGAATTAAAGGTTAGATAATAAATAAAATTGAAACTCTATTATAAAAAAAAATTAAATGTGATCACAGATAATATACCAAATATTATCTCAATAAGAAAGATCTTTAATATAAAAAATTGAATTGAATTACAAATTATATAAAATAAACTTTAAATAAATTGCCTTCTATCGTTAATACGTACCACAATTGAATTTTTTCGAATTATGTTTTATTATATCTAGCTACTTCACGTTTGTACGACTTGCTCATTACGTCATTCCTTGTTTCGAATTGCGGTATAATACGGACTCAATTAATGAACATCAGTGTGCGTAAGCAAGCACCCTTTTGCAACATTCGCACGAACGTGAGAGAAGGCAGAAACACACAAGTGTTGGTCTACAACCTCACTTTAAGATTTAAGTCTTAAGCGACTGACTAACCATAGTCAATTATTCTTCTTACGTCTTAAAAATAACACTGGGCAACACATATTTTGGTGCCGCCACTTTGACAGCTGATTCTGAAGGATTTTGGATCGCTGAAAACGAATCTATACTCCGTTTTTACCCATCCGCTCTTGTTTTTCAAATAATCGCAAAATAATTTTGTTTTTTATTTTAATATTTTGTAATTTTTTATTTTTTGACAAAAAAATGATATCGGGATCTGTAATACGGCTTTTACTCAGAAAGTATCCCACAATACTGGAATTATTTTTGTGATAACAAAAAAAATTATTATACAAACCACAAAGCAAAAACTGTAATAATATCGTCAAAAAACGGGAAAAACGATAAAATTTCGAATAAAAAAGTCAATATGCTCAGTAAAAAAAAAATCGAAAAAAATATTGCGGCTCATGAATCTGTAGCTTAAGTATTCTAGATTAAAGATTTCTTGTGAATCCAATTAACGATCCTATGTTAAAAAGTTATTGAATTTAAATGTAAGGTACATGCCATTGTACACGGATCTTTCCTCGTCAACTAGGTCACTTCTGTCGTCAAAAGTAATTAAGAGTAAAATTAATAGACCAGTTCATGAAATTAAAGTAAAAATAAATACTTTTGAAAGTTATGTGTCCTACTTCAAAATTCAAAATGACAGATCTAATATGGCGGATGCAAAAGCTAATATGTAGTCAAATATTCGTAAAAAGTGGTTATATGAGATAGCTGATGTCACTAAATTGAAATATATGAGATAAAAAAAAATATAAAAATATAAAATATGAAAATATAAAAAATATAAAAAATATACTCTCTAAATCCGAACCAGTGAAAAGTCACTGATATCAGTGCGAAGTATGCTACTGAACGAATTAGTGGCTGCGTTCAGATTCCCCACCCGGAGGATAATCGCTGGGCTGCGTTCCAAAACTCTGCGACGAATAAAGTAGTATTTAATTGACCAATAAGAACAAAGATAACTAGGGTTTCTTTATTATGATTGATCAATTAAATGTACCCACCGAGTAGAATTTTGGAACGTAGTTCTGGGTAATCGAGTAAGTAGGCGAAGCTAGCGAAAAGTTCCCGAGTGATTTGTGAACGCACTTGAAGCCACTCTATCTCTTTACATGAATCTTTTGCATATATAAACAATACAAACAATATAAATTATTATAAATTGAATAATATAATATAGAGAAATATAATTAAGTTATAAGATTGTTAATATTTCTTACTTTATTGATAAAATAAAAATACATAATATTAAAAATAAAAAATAGAATATAAATAAAATTTTCATTGATTATTTAGATAAATGATACGTTAAACATAAT